TTGAAAATGTAGGAATATGTTAAGAGAGTATTAATTGTTGTAGCCTAGATTGTAGGCTTATTCATTACGTTTGCCGTGTCTGACCATTGTAAACGAAATATCTCTTGCTCACTCTAGATCACTAACCTTTCTAGGCCTAACTACAATACAATAGTACGCGACCTTCGCAGGCCGCCGGCAGCGGTAATAAATTTTAGGTAAGTAGCGAATCTGTCACCCGACCTGTCACTTGTGACAGGGGGTTGGATGATCGATTACCCGAGTAGGTCGGATAGCAAGACCGAATTCGGTAAGGGAAGATTTTCGGCATGTTATGACCCAAGAGTACAAACGGCTATCTGCGAAGGTGGCACATTGTGTTGGCTTGCCAATCCACTATTCGTAGTGGTCTGGGTAACAACACTGCTAGCCGGCATCTAGAGGTGCTTTCTCAAAATTTGCTTTCCCCCCCCCCCCTGCTTTCCCCCCCCCCCCCCATCTGGGACTGAGATGGGTATGGACAGGTATCCTCATTGGGAAATCTCAAGCCCTGCAAATGATTAAATAAGACTGAAAATTGATCAATTATGTTTGTATAAATTTATATATTTACGAAAACAATTAAGTTTTTCGAAAATTTACGGAGTTTACCTACGCATATAGAATTACTACGTCAGCATCAGTTAATTGGCAAAAAAAAAAAAATCTACTTGTATTAATTTTTAAGTAGTAAATAAAATTGAATTTAATTATTTAATTACATCAGCTTAACACAAATAATATTTATAAATGGACATTCAAATTGGAAATACTTTACCGGTGATGGGAACTTCCTGGCAATTGCTGCTTTGAGTAGAACATCCACATGCACTGGAGTAATTTTCCTTCTGTCTTCCATCAGATCCAGAAGCTTTTCATAAAGTGGAAAACACCCAATTGGACTGATAATGCAGTAAACCTCTGGCAACCTTGGGCCGTCTCCAGGAGGCTTTGAGTGAAAAAGGAAAAATATTTAAAAACAAACAAATGTATTTGAGTTGTACAAATTAAAACAATACTATATTAACAACAAATGTAATCAATTTTTTCACATTTTTTTTATAATGAGCATAACCAATAGGGTACAGTACATAAATGATCATTGTGTTTTAATGCTTTAATATAAAAAAAAATAGATAAAACTTTTAAAATAATAATATATTGTACAAATAATATTATAAAAATATGATAAATAAACATGCATATTCAATTCAATTCAACAAAACAATTACTTTCTTCAAAAGGTAATACAAGAAAATGCAAATACAAATTAACACAAAATATTTGGAAGAAGGCCAAGTCCCGAGAAGAAGTTTGCAAAAAATATCATGTGATGGGCAGGCCTAAAAAGAAAAATTAAATAAATAAATAAAAGCTAATAAATAAATAAATAATAAAAGAGGGAGAAAAAAGCAGCTCAATTGATAACAACAGGATGAATTACGACAACAAAAATTATGAAATTTAATAATTTGCAATTATGTGTTTATTAAAGTTTATTAGAAAAAGCTCTGACAACATTTGTAATTGAGATTAATAAGTTGTTCCAGATTCAGGGGCCCATATACCTAATGTTGTGTTGGAAGTAGTTTGTGTTTAAAATATGATAAGGGATGTGAACATCAGTTCTATATCGTGTACAATAATTGTGAAAGGAAGAATTAGGCATAAACATGTATTTATAAAACTTAATATATCCATAGATTGCACAGTGTAAAAGCATCAAATATGCAGGGGAGAAATTGTTTTCAACTTTCATTAGAGATACTAATGCCTAGCTTAAACCCTGATTGTATAGCGTACTGCTGCCAAACCACAAAAACTCTCTACATTCAAATGCCAAATTAATCACCACCTGTTGTTTTGAACAGAACATGTTACAGCCTAATACCTGATTCACAATACAACAGAATATGCTCTACATATTAACAGGTATCAGGGGAGGATCCAGCCCGGTGAGAAAGAGGTGGGGGGAGGGGGTGAATATGCGAACTGAGTAAGAGTCTCAGGGAAGAGCCCCTTGTAGGGGTCCCTTAAATATCTAGCAATCTGATTAATTTGAGTTTGTATTTGATTGATTTTCTGATAAAAATAAAGCTTTAAAAAAAAAAAAAATGCGTACGCCCCTTATGCCCCCTGAATTCACCACTGTGGATATCTAGTCGTAAATTTTTCTACAGATATTCATTGCTATTCACACAACTAAATACAAACCTTAGTATATTGATACAGAAAATGAAGATACATATTAAGTTAAAGTGAAAGATAACTGCGCCCTATTAGCATGCATGCAGTACGGTATATGCTAAATATATATCTAAGGTACTCTTATAATAATATGTATTTCCACGATAATAGGGAAAATATTCTTGGTAAATTGTACATTTAATTGAAACTGAAAGTACTTTCTGCTATTTAGCAATATGTTTCTATTAATGCAAAGATTATTTCCGAAGATAAGTTTCTTTAATTGCAATGTCATACATCTATATGAGAAGGGCAAATAAGTTTATTCCGATTTCTGTTTCAAGTACTAACAAAATTTGTGGAAATATTATTATTAATATTGAAAATATTATTGTTATTGATATTATTATTATTATTATATTTTTGTCAGCGCTAATAAATTCTATGGTTTATGGCTAATCGCAACTGCTCCCACCTCCCTCCATGCATTTTATTTTTTTGTTGAGGGCCTCATGATTGTTAGCAAACACAGTTGAACAAGTAAATTTAATTTGGTTGGTAAATGGGCTAAAATCCATTGTTAAAACAAATTAATCAATATAAAGCTTGAAAAATGTCCTTTTCATTCATCAAACTAGTAGAGGTGTCTGGATCCTACATGAAATACCGCAAGTTTCTATCCATTTTGCTTATCCCTTATCCTCATTGTAAATATGGCAAACATTTTCTTGTTGGGCTTTTGTCTTTCTTTGGAATGCTTTGTTTTATTACAATCTGACAGGCATCCATTGTTGATTTTACGGCATCTTTAAAAACTCACCTTTTTAACCCGTACTTTTCTTAAATTTTTTCTCCTGGCATTTCATTTCTATTGTCTATTGAGGCTTTAGTATAATGTACTATATAAACCAAAATAATAATAATAATAATAATAATAATAATGATAATAATAATAATAATAACAATTTATTATTATTATTATTATTATTATTATTATTATTATTATTAGTTCTAAAATCAAAGGTAAGAATGGTTGCTATAAAGGTTAATACAATGCAACTTAAATGTTGTTCAGTAGACAGTCTAATATTAACTAATAACAAAATATGCCTATGTCACTCTTTCACAAGAAATACGTCAAAAACAATGTGGAAATTGTTGATAAGTCCATTACCCTATGATTCAAGGCCTTCCCATGGAGAATAAAATTTAATAAACTAAATTTAAAGATGTATAGTTAGCTGCAGCATTGACAGTAAGAATATGTTTTGAGATCAAGTGAAACTAAAGTAAACTTAGTTAATGATAAACAATTTAATACAGACTCCAACTAATAACATGACCTCTAAAGTGTACACATTGTGGAAATAGTATCATGCAGAGAATGTTAACAATTATTCGTAGATGCAAACAATCAAATAATTTACATTAGGTATTATTGAATGTAATTTACAAAAGGAAATTACTAAACCCTGATTGAAAAATCTGAACTTGGTGGGTTTCCTACTTCGGTAGTTAGTGTATTGCACCGAGTGACACAATGAATTACGCGAGGAATCACCAGGTTAGTCATCAGAGAACGTGGTCCACCTAATGCACCTCGTGCTTGTCAGTATGAACGATCGTGTTGAGTCGCTTATTAACACTGTATCACCCACTCAGTTTTCAGGAATATCCTTAATTAAGAGCTAAGAATAACTGTTAAAGATATGCACTACTTGTACATACATTTGGGACTTTTGGCTGGCAGATTTAAACAATATGAAGGAAAGATCAAAGATAATTTTGTTGTTGAGTACAATCATTCCGAAAACGATAAACACACTCGTCAGACAAATAATCATCTTTTAGTTCCACAACAGATAATATGTCAAGGAAAACGGACCTTTCATTATCGAGTATCTAGGAACTGGAACCAACTACTTAGCAACATACTGTAACTAGGCGTGGATTTCCAGAATTTTAATCAATATACTTTAAAAATGCTCTCACTTAATTCATTAGTCTCTTCTCGATCTATTTTGTAATTAATTCCTTCTTGTTAAATTTTCCATACATTTTTTTTCCTGTTTCAATTTATCACCTTTGTATTTTTATGTTATACCCTGGACCACGAAAACCAGTGCCTTTGCATTGAGTGAGCCATTCAGTATAAAAGAAAATTAGATAAATAAATCAATCCTAAATCACATAAAAAAAGCATATCTATTATGATTTTTATCTGAAATTATAGCTAAGGTAATAAAAATGCCAAATTTTTTTAAACAACATGTTTTTAAAATTTTCCAGCCTGGTTTTTAAATACTATACTGGTAATTTATTGAGAAACAGCAATGCCTGCTGTGATAATGACTCTAAGTAGAGGTATTCTTCTTTGATGATTAATTGGATTATTGAGATAAGATTCTGGCAAACCTGGTTCACCAACCTGCCTGAATGCTCTTTTAAAGGGTTTGCTGGTAAATGGGATAGTAATGGCATGAATAATTGGCTGGCAGATTTAAACAATATGAAGGAAAGATCAAAGATAATTTTGTTGTTGAGTACAATCATTCCGAAAACGATAAACACACTCGTCAGACAAATAATCATCTTTTAGTTCAACAACAGATAATATGTCAAGGAAAACGGACCTTTCATTATCGAGTATCTAGGAACTGGAACCAACTACTTAGCAACATACTGTAACTAGGCGTGGATTTCCAGAATTTTAATCAATATACTTTAAAAATGCTCTCACTTAATTCATTAGTCTCTTCTCGATCTATTTTGTAATTAATTCCTTCTTGTTAAATTTTCCATACATTTTTTTTCCTGTTTCAATTTATCACCTTTGTATTTTTATGTTATACCCTGGACCACGAAAACCAGTGCCTTTGCATTGAGTGAGCCATTCAGTATAAAAGAAAATTAGATAAATAAATCAATCCTAAATCACATAAAATGCTACAGTAGCTGATTTCATAAATGAAATTACACCTCTCCCTCAATGATACTTAGTTTCAAAATAATAACGTTATGTCACCATATAATCAGTGAATTACTTATATTGCATGTTAATGAAGTGAATTAACATTACCATTCTATTAATAAGACTCACCAAAAGCCTTCTGCAATAACCATAAAGTCGGGATCCATCTTCACTGGTGAGTACAAAGGAAAAAGTCTCACTAAATTAAAATAAGAGAAAACAAACATTTTAACGAAATATATCTATAACCATAAAACAACTTAGATAAATTAAATATATGTTTATGTTTCTTTTTTGAATATTTTTATGTTTCATTTTTTATATTTTTTATATTTTTTTTTTTTACTAACTTGAAAAAAAAAAACAAACAAAATCATGTTTTTTTTTAAAGATGTTAAAAGATCATAAAACATCAATATTCTAAGGATATGTTATTTCAATTTTATTACTTTGTTATTCAATAATTTCACTTAATGACACGTACATTAATGGCTATACAAAAAATATGGTGTACATTATGATCTGATGTGGAAATGAACTCAAATTCACCTTGAAAAAATGGAAGTTGAAGTTCAATGTGTAGAAAGACATATTGTTCCAAAACAACTGATTTGAAAGTCTTGCTTTTCTTTGGTATTTGATAAGATTATACCGTACTCTTAGGAGAAACTCATATTAGTTTCAATCTACTGTTTTGAATGAAGGCTTTATTTTTCTTACCATAATTCAGCTTTTTTTTTCATTTTATAGTGCAATGTAGTTTTGCATCATGTGGTAGAGCATGTAATGTTTTTTTATGAGTTTTATTTCACTTATATATAAATATACAGATATACAGAAAACTAGATATCAATAAGATATAATTATAATTATATAATTATATTATTATTATTATTATAATTATAATTTTATAATTATATTATTATAATTATCTAAATAAAACATAAAGCAACTCCCTGAAACATGTGGCTATACAAATTAAAAAGAATTTGGCCCTTTTGTTATATTATCGTAAAGAACAATTTGGCTTTAGCATAATGCGATAAATGAAGTGACATTTTTAAATTACTATTATTTCACTTCAAATGAATAGATTAGAGAAATACAGATATCATTATCATTTATTTATTTATATTAAATATTATGATAAAGTAAAATACAACAAAAAAAAGCCCTCCAAAGAAAAAATATTAGCAAATACAAGAACTAAATTATACAAGAAACAAACAAGAGTTAAATAACATTATATTATATATAAATAAATATACATAAAAAGAAAAGTAGACAATGAATTAAAGGAAAAATATCATTAAAAGAAAAAAGAAAACATAAAACAAATCCCTAAGACAAGTTGCTGTACAAATTCATCAGAATTAGCATGTACAAAAGAGGGGATAATACATCAAAGTAAACAAAAACAGAAAAATACACATTAAACAAACATAACAGAGTATGAGACAAGACAAGCCAAACCAGTCACTCATCAATGCAAATCTGTTTTGGAGATAATGGCCAAAACATGCTGGAATGCTGAAATGTATGAAATCTATTTTATAGCACTAAACTAACCTTTAAATATCTATACATCATGCTATGTTGTTATTTTTGACATTTTCAACGTTAAAAAAAAACCAGATTTGGTGATGGTTTCTGCTTGAGAAATTTCTAAAATGGTAAACTTTGAAGGCTGATTTCTGAAATACTGTTCTTTGAACAGCAGTACTATGTTTAAACTACTGTACTATGTTTAAACTACTGGACTTCAATTTTCTTTTAACATTTTATAACTTTCATTTTACAGTTGCTTGTATTAGGTAACTAAAAATTGATTATTTGCAAGGTGTGACTGGTTTGGCTTGTCTTTGCCACAAATATAAAAATACTCTATGGAGTTCAGGGCATCTTTTAAATTAATTTAACTTTCCTCGTTAAAAAAAAGGCAATCAGTCCAGGTGGATTCATCTATGTGATGGAAGATACTTTAACAAGGAAATTATTGCAAGGTTTAAACAAGGTTTAATGCATTATTCTTTTAACTCTGATACTGGGAAGACACATTCTGCCATTTTTTAAATATTTTATACAGTAAATTTTGCTTCCTTGGAAGTTTAATGCAATATAAGGCAGCTTATGACTTAACTAAAGTAGGAAAAAAAAGGAAACATGAGAGAAATATAAGGATTGGATTCTATTTTGAATATTCTGATACTGGGAACACAAATTCTGCCATTTTCTAAATATTTTACACAGTAAATGTTGCTTCTCTGCAAGTGAGATGCAATATAAGATAGTCTATGAATTAAATACATTAGGAAAATTTAAAAAATAGAAGGAAACAAAAAATGAAAATATAGAGGGTTTGGATTGGATTTATTCTCAAATTCTCAACATAAAAACTAGTACAAAATCAGATAAGGATGACAAAAATATAAGAGAATTTCAGGATAACCATTAAATTGAAGCATTTCTGGTTGTTTCCAAAGAGTTCCCTGTGAGACAATATCGAACAATAAAATAACAAATTCCATAAACACATAAAGAATTAAGAATTTATAATAAAGAAAAAAGAGTCAACATTGACACAAGCTATGTTGGAAAGATTGTTTGATGGAAGACTATGAAAGTTAATTCCACAGCGTGTTGAACCTTCAACAAAAATACTTTTTTTTCAAACATTAAAGATATGGATTGACAAAACATGAAAATGAGTAGTGTATCCAGGCTTTTGAAAAGCATGCACAATAGAAATATTCAACTGAAGTTTACGTAATGCGCAAAACTAGGGACGGAAAATATCGAGTGCCTGGCTACACCATAAATTGTTTGAAACATGAAATGAAGTTTTTGACATCCCAATATCAACATGGGAGGAAATCGCACAAGACAGAGCAGCATGGCGCAATGCAATTTCAAACGGAAAGCACATATCAGCACAAAATTACATAGATTTCTGTAAATGGAATATGAGAAAGTAGGCGTCACATCATAAGTATCGGTAGCTGTTAAGTGCCTGCAGGTTATTTCTGCCTTGGGAGCTGAACAAACCCACCTTGCAGAGTTTATCAATAGTATCACTAGGAGATGTGCACGTTTCTATTAAACAAATCGTCAAAATTGATGTATATGGCCAGGAAAACGTCTAAAGTAACTTAATTTTATATTTTTTTTTTCACATTTAAACAAAAAGGGTGGTGTCCAAGCACTGAGAAAACCCCTGGTTGCACCACTGCATAGAGGTTTTGCGAAGATGGATGGGACATTCATGAAGAATATTAATAAAACACAAAACTGAAACACAAAACTAAAAAAACAAAAACACAAAACTATCACCTTACAGTGTTATGATTAGTTTCATATGCGATAAAGGTATACTGTAGTCGGGCATTTATATTGTGTTATTTACCTATACCACAGCCCAATGCAATATTTATAAAATTATTTATAGTTTCAAAATCCAAATAATTCAAACAATTTCATAAAGAGGTAACTGTTCAATAACCTTTTCAAATGTTGTCAATCATGTAAGATTTGAATGGTACTAGGAAGTTCATTCCAAATCTTAAATGCACCGCACAGGTAACTAGAATAAACGATTGTTCGAGTAAGTCTGGGGATTTGTTAAGGACAATGATAAGAGCATGCATAATCATGCATAACATATTTTAGTTTCTTTATCCAGGGTAACTTTATGCATAAAGAAGATAGTACTATGAGGCATACCTACGATATTGCTCAACGGGGGCCCATTTGAAGGCATCTGGGAAACAGAAGTGTGGAATTGCTATTAACTTATCCATGCCTTCAACCTAAATCATGAAAGAAAAAAGATTGCACAACATGAAACACGAATGAAGGAACAAACACAATCTCATTTGAAAATTACATAAAACACATCATTTTGACAATTTAATTGCAATCCTTGGAAAATCTGTAGGCTGCTATGTGTTGTGTTTTATTATTTCATAAATAACTTGTTTTTTATGATATTGAAGATTGAATTTTAAAATAAACCATTTCCAAGGATAAGAATTTTTGCAGAAGGCAAGACTGTTTTTATACCTTGTTTTGCAGAATAGAGTAATATTCTATTAATTAGTACTATTTCCAAGGATTAGAATTTTCACAGCTAAGGCAAGATTTTGTTATACCTTGTTTTGCAGAATAGAGTAATATTCTGTTAATTTGTACTGGGGTGAAAAAAATTCACTTCTTACAATATTCAGTTATTACTGTAAATATAAATATTGTCTTCGTTTAACACATTGACTACCAAGCCCTTTTTCCTAGTAACATCCTATACACTGAGGCATAAAGGGTGCCACCATAACGAAAATCATTCCTATCAACTGTAATGAACAAACATACGGTATTTATTTTTAGATCGTTACTTCAGTGGTTTTCCCTGAACATCCAGGGCAAGAGTAAACGTTCTGGCGAACACTGCCAGCGACTTTACGTGTAATACAATGGTGGTATGTTTAGACAGGCCTGGTGCGGACATGAACTCACGTCCTGGCGCCCTGAGTGAACCCTGTCAGACGCGAACTCATGACCCTGGCAGCGAACATGTTAAAGCCTAGATTTTAAGTCTTAAAATTGCTGTTTAGAATCTGGAGATATACCACAGTGGCTTTAAACACTGTCGGTGTTGAGATTAACATTCAATCAATGGCAGCGCCAGTGGGAGAAGTGTCAAAAGGTTACATTGCCCCGTCAGGGAACTCGGGACCCCAGTTGGGAAAAACCACCATTTCGTCAGGAAGCACCAGACCTGCCATCTCCCAATTCAGGGCTAAATCATTGTAGTTGACAAAGCAGTTCAGTAGCCATCTATGAAATGCAAAGCATTCAAAGAGACCTGGCTGTCAAGGAATCCCCAATAGAATTAATAATGTAATAGTAATAATAGTAACATGCAATATGTAAATAATTATTATGATATAGTTGGCAATTTTTAGTGTAACACTGCACTGCTACATCATAGAAAACAATAACGATATTAAGTACACATTTCCATAGTATTTCTTTGAAGTAACAAACATTACCAAATCTTTCAAAGAAGACTGGATATAAAGAAACAGGATAGTCCAAGATTTGCTGGTACTACAGTATAATTTTAATAATCGCTTACAAGGACGTCAAATAAAATATGATTCATCTTGAACTCTCACCTCTTGTGGAAAGCGTCTGACCTCGTATGGTTCAAACCGTCGCTTCTCAGAGTTATTCCGCAATGAGACCACCACCACGTACTCAAAGAGTTTCTCGTAGCGCGCATAGTGGCGGATACGGTCTACGCTACAATACTGTGAACGACTACGTCTACGTCTTATTTCTGTAAGCCTCTTTTTGTGTTCTGCAATAAATGTCGAGTTTGAGTAGGGTTAGGGATTGACCTTATTTGTAAAAAAAACAACTTACAGGAGTAATAAGCAATGATTTTATGTGTGTCATTCATATACTACAGTATAGCCTACTATTTATTACATTTAATGATAATTTGAAGCCAAGGGCCACATTTTGTGAGGTCTATTTTTATTGAAATCACTCAATTATTTTCCCCTGAGACTAAAATATCCAACATCCTTGTAGACAAATATGGCAGTATTTATCGAGTTTTACAGCAATTTTAAGGATACTCCAAAATTATAGCGATCTTATCACTAATAAAATTGTGTATTACGCATGTGGCATTATTGCCAAGATCACATAAATGCAGATTTCTAAAAATAAAATCAGGACTCTTACATACTTAAATATCAAACTTAAATTATTACAAAACCATAAATACACTAAAACAATAAATAGTTATTACATAGAAAATACAGTTTTTTTTTTAGGAAAATTTGAACTGCAGAGATGGTGTATTATTCAACATTTTTCATAAAAAGACAAATAATTTACTTGTCGCAGCTGGCTCTAAAATAGTTTTAACTATCTTAACATATTTACCAAAACCTTAAGACTTCTACATCCTCTTTCTAAACTGAAAATAATTTACAGACTAAAAAAACATTTAAATTTAATAATAAGTAGGTGCTATGCATAGATTAGAAATGAGGAAATTAAAAATACAGTATAAATAGCTATTCAGCAATAAACTATACTGTACTGAGGCTGTAAAAGAAGCCACAATAACTATTAATGAGCCTGTCCGTGTCAGAGTTCTGTGTACAAATATTATGCCATCAAATAAACTTATTATTGTGCATTGCCTACTGTAGCAAATGATTGTAGAACCATGAGTTACACAGTAGAGCAAAATATTTTCTTGTTATCTTCCATCCATGTATATTTGTACAGAAGTTTTGCACATATTTGATTGAATATATTATTCTCCTGAAGACGACTGAAGCAACTCAATCGAAGCATCGAGATATTCTCAATCAACAACAACAGATCTTTTCAGAATTATCTATGTGGTGTATTGCTGCCATTAATATATAATAAATACAGATTATTTTTTTTAATATTTATTTTCAAAATATGTTTTCAAAATATAATATAACTTTATTCAAAAACTGAAATTCATTCTCAATTTCTTGTAAGTCTTTTATCATGATAAAATAAAGATAATAAAAAATAAATATAATACAGGGTAACATAAAACTAGAACAATTATAACATTTAAAATATAAAATAATTCCAAACTTACTTGATAACATTTATAATTACTACAGATGACAATAAGTGCACATTCAAAGACATATGCTATACAGGGTAAAATCTATGATTGACCCGTTTGCAACACAAAAACATGCAGACGAAAGTACAAAAAACCTGCAGTTATCTGCTTCCTGGTACAGGATATCGCAAGGCTGCCACAGGCTTTACAAACACTAAAATGACTGCCTACAGCAGCCGGAGAACTACCTCTATTTATCACCGTAAAGAACAAATGCTAACTTCCATGGGTGCCTGGAGCAATCCTAGGCTGGAACCTAGAAAAATACACGACAGATGTAACCGATTGCATTATCATTTTTTTGCAATCAAGTCGAGTTTCTTCTCCGACAGCAACCAGTTTACCCAAACAGGCCTTCTAATGTCTGATGATCAACAGATTTGCTGGCAAACCGTGAAGAGCTTATAAACTATTAGCTTTTCCCCTTCCTCGAACTTCCTCTGAACGTTAAGCAGTTACCATGGCAATCTATAACTAGATTTAGCAATTGGAGGCATCTCAATTTATTTTTTTCTGGCTTTAGCAATAAAATGGTTTAGTTTGGTGACTGCATGTTCGGATGTAATTCATTGATACATCTGGTACGGTTAACAAAATAAATCTGTCAAATTTCATCATACCACAGGAAATTGTGCCTAACTAAGCATTATTTTAATTTGTTCAATTAAATTCAATTTATGATGGATGTCACATCAATACATAAAACAATACATTCTTGAATTGTAAAAGAATATAAAAAATCATATTTCTAAACGCTGACACCTAATCAGCAAATTTAATCGCTTTTGAGAGATATTCCAAAAAAGTGAAAGCAATTTAAAGTTGTTATTTTGAGAGAAGCAATGCAGAAAGTGCCTTGTTCAAGGACAAATAAAATAATACACAACAAAGGATTGAAACCCCGACCTCAAGGTTAGGAAACCAAACCGTTCCCGCTGCACCAAATCGTTTCAGAATCTTAAAATTTCAAAAATATATGAATATACTTTTGTACAAAATCTTCTTATTTGAATACTTTCTTTGGCCTCTTGCTTATTAATTCTCTGGAAAAGTTTTTTTATTTTATATCAGACACACATCCTGAACTGAGGAAGTCATTACCAATCGTTCGAAAATGTAAAATGTCTTATATTTTCTTGTAAATGACAATGTATTAAATCACTAAATGTTCAGTACAACCTTCGTCTATATCCCAATCACTATCTTCTGGTAACATGTACTGTAAAGCTGTACAAAAAATAAATTGTTGTCAACGAACGAACTCCTTCCCAGCTGAAAACCCCATATTCCAGGTTCAATGCCTTTTATATGTACGATCTTTTGCTAGACACGACCAAGGCTAACTGCACCTCCATACAACTTATAATTCACCATAGAGACACATATGAAATTCTTTACCTTACATGCTTCCCCCTTTTTCAACGTACGCATCTGCCCCTAATCTACAGTACCTGACTTCCAGCAAATTTCAGGCATACTTTACTGTACTTACCTACTTCGTTTATATCCCCATCGCTGTCTTCTGATGCCACAGACGACCGGTCTTCACTCACTGTACTTTCTCTGGTGTGTTTCGAGTTCTCCTTCCGTCGGAATGCATTATTTATCCTTCTTTGAATCTGTAACAGCAATGGAGTGAATGTTTAGTATAACAATTTTGTAATAAAAAAACTTTTATTCAAAATATGACACTACTAAATTTATGATTTATAAATACATTAGAACCCCTACTTAAGGGGACACCTTCAGGACTGAAAAAAGTTCCCCTCAATAGGGGTGTCCTGTTGACAAGGGTGTCCCAAAGGAGGGGTTCTACTGTATATTAATAATAGTAAATAAAAGTACAAATAAATATAGATGTTAAAATGGTTGTGGTTTTCATTATGCATCAAAACACATGCTTATCTTCCAGAGACCCATATCAATTTGGTACACTATTAAGAAAAAAAAAAAAAAAAAATTAACAAAAGAAAAAAAAACTCTAAATAAAATAAAATAACAAAAAAATTAATATGAAATAAATAAATGAAGCAATATCAATAAAAACCTAAAATTTTATTAATTGCAATAAAAGAAAAAAAAATCATTGGCAATTATTTTTTCTTTATTCTACTGTAGCCATTTTTAAGTGTGAATATTCAAGATGTGTGTGTGTTTAAAATTCCCTGATTCACGAGACAGAATACCTTCCAGCTCCTCATGAAATATGATAAGTTAATAACCAGCAACTTTTATACAAGAAACAATAAAGACCTCATAAACTTTAACTTTCAAAAAAGTTATTGGAAGGTGTTCCAGCTAAACATTACTCAAGGGCATGTAATCTTTTAATCTCAGTCTTCTATAAGTAAAATTGACTAATGTATTGTGAAATACAGTATCAAAATGCAATATTTGTACATGATAAATATTAGTTTTTTTCTGTAATAAGGTGTAATATAAATAATCAATATTTATGTAGCGGCCTAATGTTAATAACCTCGAGGAGCTTAACAACAACATAATAAACAATAAAAAAACAAAATAGAAATAAAAAATAAATAAAAATTTAAAAAAAATTAAAATTAAAATATAAAAAAAATAAATTAATTAAATAAAATAAATTAAAAAATAAATATAAAACAAATATAAAATGAGCAGCGATGCAGGAGATGGTGACATTCAAGAGGTCTCGCCCTCTGATGTCAAATTAACTTCGCTGTCTCAATGAGCAATTTACACGCAGGTAATCCATAAAAGGCAGCATGCTGGACTACAGCACTTTCCACCACATGCTAAGGCTGTGCTCCACTGCCGTGCGCTGCCGAGACCTTGTTAACTTGTGTAAGACTACATTGATTTTAATTAACATTGGTCTTATATAATATTAATTACTGTAATAAAATTGGGCTATAAATTCTCAGTGTAAATTAAATAACTTGATTTAACAATAATACTATAAAATTAATAAAAAATCATAAAAATAAAATATTATTTTTTATTTTATTACTTAAATAATTTTTTAAAAATCTAAATTTAGTAAGTTTAATAACTCAATTAACGGTACAATTATTTTATATAATATGATTTCTTCATGTGTATCATAAAGGTTCATTTTAATTAACATTGGTCTTATATAATATTAATTACTGTAATAAAATTGGGCTATAAATTCTCAGTGTAAATTAAATAACTTGATTTAACAATAATACTATACAATTAATAAAAAATCATAAAAATAAAATATTATTTTTTATTTTATTACTTAAATAATTTTTTTAAAATCTAAATTTAGTAAGTTTAATAACTCAATTAACGGTACAATTATTTTATATAATATGATTTCTTCACGTGTATCATAAAGGTTCATTTTTACAGAACAACTGAAAACAAAATTAAATTTTTTAATGCTATAATATTCACTACTTTTTGCTATGTTTGTTTGTATTTAGTTCAAATCTATATCATAATACAAAATAAAATTTAAAGTGACAGAAAGTGAAATAGTGATATTAAAAATGGCTAGTAAATAAAGTGGAGTTGTTAATGTGTTCAAAGGTTGTTAAGGGCCATATAGTATCATAAGCAAACATACTGTATGGTTATTAATTAAATAAACACAAAATATAACTGTAAAAATAATATCTGCATAGGTATCTGGTATAATTGTGAGTGCCGTGCAGTCTGTTGGTTAAATTCTTGTTTCCGTCTTATCTTTTCAACTGATAACCACAGCCTGTTGTGACGTCAATGAATTGTTCAAGACATTCCAGCTTTTAAACATGTGTTTTTGTTCCCTCAAGTCAGCATTATAACACAAACTTATTTGTAAGAAATGTTTGTGACCTTCCTCTTTAAACAATGTCATTATATAATTAAAATAAAGCAGGATTGTATAGTTAAAACTATTAAATTTAATGAATCGGTATAAATTTGGATCAAGCATACTGCATAACTATGTGAATTTTGCTTTTCATACTCAAACTTTCAATAATATGCTAGGTAGGCATTTCCCATGAACAAACCCCAAATTGACCCTTCCTTCTTTAGATCAATAGCAATTAACATCCACTATGACCTCAGAGATGTGACCTTTACAAACAAGACGTTCAGGAAATATTAATTATTGCACCTACAATAGATATTTACACACAAAAAATAATTAAAGGAACAACATTTATGCTTTTAAATAGTTTTATATATATTATTGCTAAACTAAAAAATATAAAAAGGAAAATTAATATTTAAAATTTGCATATTTAAAAGAAGTAATTTTCTTTCAATTACAATTAGTTTTTTTTTTTTCAATTATTAACAGACACATAATGATATTTTTAAAAATAATTATTTTAAAAAATACTAAAATAACAATAATCGTCTTGGTAACAATTGAACCTTATAAAGAAGTTATTCAATATTTTAATTGATTGTTTTAAAGACAGAATATGTGATATGTTGTACAAGTCATTTTTCTAAGACACAAAAAGCATATTTGACGAAAAAATCGGAAGCGGTTTAGAAATACAGATTTTTGAATATTTAAAAACTGGGAGAAAAAGGGGCATAACAACCTTTTTTCCACCCGTTTTTTTATATATTCAAAAATCTGTATCTCGTTAAAATTTTCGTCAACATTTAATGTCAACAAATGTTTTTTCCTCCAGAGCCTCGATTTAAGGTTTTTTCATAGTTGGAAACAGGCAGTGGTAGTATTTCATATAAGACTGCAAATATTTAAACTGTACTATTATCTACTTCATAGTTTTATTTGTTTAAAATGTATTTTATCACTGTCAATATGTTATAAATATTAAAGCAATTGACAACTGATAAATATAAACAAAACAAATAAAATTATACATAATCAGAAATGAACTTTCTATTACATGCTGCAGTTGAAATGATAATATTATTACAGGTACAAGGAAGTCCTAAATGCATTTGCAACATTTGATTTCCAGGTGATTTCCTTTTGCTCATAAATAGAATTTAAAGTATCTCGGACTGAAAACAAATCATGTATTTAGCACTAGAAACTTTTAAGTATTATATGTGTTGACTTTTTATACAATATTTATTTATTTATTTCCTTAAAAACTGGTTTAGTTGGTTGCTTGTTATTGTTTATTTAGCACTGGAAATTTTTAAGACTTGACTTTTTACATAATATTTATTTATTACCTTAAAAACTGGTTTAGTTGGTTTAACTATTGTTTACTCAAAGCAACTAAACACTTTTATTGGTGAACATTCTCAACATATTTGCCACTAAGTCTATATTTAGAGTGGCTATGGTATTTAATTTGTAAGAATTCAATAATCATGGTTTGTATTGTATATTACAAAAAGAGATATAACAAAAACAAAAATATTTTAGTTATCCAATACTAGTACATATGGCTAGTTCTGAGGTGCATATTTTTGTATAGTTTCCAGAAACAAAAAGAAATGTCATAAACACAGAAATATAAAAAAAAACCAAATAGAAATTAAAAGTTAAAATAATAATTATGCTTTCTAAAAACATTTTTAAAAAATTGTTCATTCAAACTTCTTATCCTATCTATACTACACCCTTCATCACCCTAATCAGCTTCCAGTTGCAGATTTAAGGGACGGGTTCTCAGCTGGCCCAGGGCTCCCTAAATATTTCAAAATTATAAAAAAAAAAATCAAGAAAAAAATAAAATTATATTAAAATGGAAGTCTGAGGTACCATTTCTGGCCATCTAGATGTGCCATAATCACGTTGGGACTGAGGTGGTCTAGACAATTTCATCTGTGAAAGTCCCTCCATGGACCCCTCTCTATTTTGAATTCCTACATCCACCACTGAGTTCAAGACTACAGTAGGTTTTGTAGAAAAGTGTTGTTTAAAGTGTAGAGATTATGATCACTCCAAAACCCTACAATTCCTCCTGTTTATTGAAGAGTTTCTCCACCCATACCGCAGAATATTATTTGGGAAAAACGATTTTTGAACCGTGATTCCATGAATTTAAAAAAAAAAATTGTTCTTTCCTATTAAACTTTTATAGAGCAATGATACACTATATCACCATTACTATTAAGAGTAATATGTACTGTTAAACTAGTAAAACTGTTCTGAAATAATGAACACACACAAGCAGGAAACAGTGTGAAACTGAGATACTTTCGCTTTTAACTTGGTAACTAGAAAATGACCTTAGACTTATAGAGTAAGCTTCATTGTATTCATTATACAACGGCAAACAAATAAATGTAACATCAACCTATTAAACTGAATTCACTGAAATTACTGTATGCCTTTGATTAAAAATCAAATCATTAGAAAAGTCAGTGGAAAAAAATCCTTACAGTAAATAAAAATTCTAAATTCTCGTTACAATAAAAACATCAGTATGTATGGAATATATACAATTTTAATTCATAAGTATATTACAATCCAACAAATACTGTAATCAAAAATAGATTTTTAAAACCTGTAAAAACATAGTAAAAAAAAAAAAAAATTTTCCATTCATTAAAATTTTGTAAATTACTTATATATACAATAAATACTACAACATGTGTTATCTAATTTTTAAATCACACATACTGTGAATGGAATGATTATCATATTCAGTATAATCACACTGAAATGTCTAATAAAATGTAAAAAATATATAATGTAATTTACTATTTTATTTTAATAATGTATCATGCAATGTGCAAATATGTATTAAGCCAAGTAAAAAAGCTTCTTTTATTACCATCAAAATTTAAAGATAAAGTCATGATGTTAATACTATTTGTAATAGCATCTGATCGTCAGTACAGTAGGCCAAAGCAGATGTACAGTAGGCCTACAGTAGGCCTACAGTATGCTATTCTAGTGAAATGCACACATCTAGAGTAAATATATGAAAACAGGTGTCTGCAAATTTTTTTAATTAATTTAGGTTTTAATTTCTTAATTTAAAGAAAAAAGAGGGAAGGAACAAGAAACTTTTTTTTCACCTGGCTTTACTATAAGTCTTTTAAAGTGCTGCATACATGGCATACAATTTAGGAGTGTCAGTGCAAGTGTCAATACAATATCAAGCAGAGATAAGGATTAGACATTGAAAATCTTTTTTAAGATCATTTAAAAATTATCAGAACTGCAAGGATACATTGAACAGTGGTGCAACACTGGGAACAGGGTCCCTGTGACTTTCTTAGAATATGGACCCTTTTTACGGGGTCTCTAAGGTCTGGCTCCTTTGGGCCAATTTAAGTCAGCGTGGTAGATCAAGGACCCTATGGGTAAGAGTGAGAGGAACTGCGGACCACCACATGAGAGCCCATATTGTAGGCATTACGGCGTTACACTACTGATATTGAATTTGTAAATATTGTATTTTTTTTAAAGTGTAACTAATTTCATACAGTATAAACAAAATAAGTGAACATCAATATTTAACATTATCTTACAGTATGTAATAATAATTATTCAGGCATGCTATGTAAATTTGAGAGGTTAGAATTCTGTTACAAAGACATAGCACTTAGAAAACAGGAGGCAAGCAAAATTATGATTTGTAAGATTTCTAATACTAATAAAGTTAGTTCAGTAGGTTTATAGTAGGTCATACAAGGCACACATAGGCTATCAACTCTGGCTTCAGCTATCAGCAGCCACTGTTCTACTATTGAAACCATAGCAAGATTCACTAATGGCAGACACTGATTTGTCATTAGTGCACTGATGTCACAGCAAAGAGGTTTCATCATCACAGAGGCACTTACAGTAAAACTAGGGGGAGATCCTTGGCTAATGTTAGAATGCCAGCCCACTACTAGGACAACAGATCTAGCAAAACAGCAGTTATCAAAATGCTATTAGATTCTGGATTTAGCAGAAGAGTAGCCATCTACTGTATAGTGTACACAAGCCATAGGATCAAATTACTAATCAAAATCACTGTGTACTGGCATAGGATATTAATAATTTAGAATTTGAAATGCAATTGGCATATTCACATTTGGCTGAAGGTACTGAATCCAACTGTGAGATAATTATAGGCCGACAATTAGCACACCCCTTTCTAAAATCATGGGTAAGACCCACTGCTAAATCTATATAGTTATATTATATTGGAATGCATGCAAGATTTAAAGTGGTCACTTGGGTACCACAGTCTACCAACGTTTGAGTTACGACCAGCATGCTGCAGAGTATTGAACTTGATGAGTTCCGTCTGAAAATTGAGAATCAAGAGAGGAAAGCATGAGATCATATTAACATTACTTCAGTTCCAGAGTTCAAAAACATGAATTTCCATGAGAGAAGAATCATTTAAAACACATCCTAACTTGAAGTAATTTTAATGGCACCTGTAAGTAAACAAACCAAGCAACAATCATTAAATATTATTAAAAATAGATAAAATTGAACATGCACCAGATATGATCAAACTGTTGGTTACAAGTATTTATGTTATACAGCCAATCACAGGCAAAAGAATTTAGGGATTTTCTTGGCAAGATCCCAGTTAAAAATACCGTCCTGAACTCTTAAAGATATATTGTCCCATGCTAAATATAAAAAAAAATTAATAAAAATATTTTTTGAAGTTAACTTGCCCATTTTGAAGTAACATAAAGTTATCAACTTGAACATAGAAATTAGTGTTTTTAAAAAATGTCTCTACCCATCACTTTACAGAAAAAAATGATAGAAACACTTCCAGTCACTGGATTTATTTTATAATTTGTTGGTTTAAAAATCAGGGTACACATTTTTTTAATTCACAAATTTCTATGCACACGTTAATAATTTGTAAGTTATTACAAAATGAGCAAGTTTATTTCAAACTTATTTTTTATAATTTTTTGACATTAGCAAAGGACAATACATCTTTAATATCTATGCACAGCGAAGCTTACAATGAAAGAATGCATGCAAATAGTGTATTGGACCAGGGGCCGATCCAGAGAGGAGAAAAATACCTTAGAGGGGCAACCATCCAGAACACCCGAAAATAATCTATGAGGCATTCTGGGCAAACAATAATTTCTTTTTCTTTCTTTTTATTTCTTCATTTTTACTTTCCGAAAGAGGTGGGGGAGGGCAGCTCACCCTCCCCCCCTAAGACCCCACCTCCAAATCCAGCCCTGTGGACCATCTGCATTGAAAATGTAATGTTGGATTGCAATATAGAGAGCCATTAAAATTCTAGCTTTCATAATAAAATATTATCTCAATTTGCCCATGGCTTTCAAAATCTGAAAGCATGATAAAAATGAAGTATACAGTAGATATGAATGGTCAGTACAAAGAGAACATTACAGAGAGGTCGTTATGCTGTGCAGGTACTGGAAACTATTTGATGATCCCACAATCAGACTGCCACAGAGACCTAGATATCACTTATGCAACTTGACCAATCAAAATCCTTAATACCCGTCACATGACCTAAAAGGGACATACTAAAGTGTTAAACATTTAACTTTTTGCTCACAAGGTTTAAACTATTCTTGTAATAGCATCTACAGTATTAACAGGAAATGTTATTAGACAAGTTTCCTAGGCCGTTAGCAACTATATACTGAACAGCATCTTGTCTCTTGCATTGAGCAATGGAAACTATTATAAGTACATCTTTGACCAGTTTTCTCTGTAGTTTTAGAATTCCCTTTTACTTTTTAAGATCTTTTTTCGATGTTGTTTTTGTCAGGAATATAGAGGTGATAATTTCCTCCTGGCGTGTTTATCATACTCAAAGTTCAGTGCATTTCAAATACACTACATTGTACTTACAACAAAATCAGCAAACACATCAATCCAAAGAATTTTATACCTTGCACCAGAACCCTACAGTAGGTACACAATTTTTTATTTATTTATTTGTCACAAAACATTTCAATATATATTGACCAGGGGAGTGACTAGAGATGACGTGGGTACACGTCATGTAATTAAAAATATAACTTGATAAAATACAAAACACTTTCTTTCCATTGTGTGGGTCAGTGAAAAACTCAGTGCCAGAATTTGACATTTAACCATCAGTGATAAGTAGTTGTTCTTGGTTTTTTTCTTCCTGGGAATAATTTGATCACCTAAACTTTCCGCACAGCTTATAATTTTATTAACACCCAATATTCACATACAACTTTTCGCCAATGTAACAATTTCGCAACAATATTACAAGCATTGCTTTGTGTGAAAGTGTTTGCATCAAATTTGCTTGAGGTTTCACATAGGCCCCTTATATCATATCTTGTAATCTTTATCCACCATAGAGAGATTGATCTGTTTTTTCCTTGGTTCTGACCATGTTCTGACACACTGCATTAACAAGATTTTTTTTTTATAAGAGTTACTCAATGAATATAGCTGACGGGAAAAATAATCTCCACACACTGTAGGCATAAAGTCGTGGTACCACCTTTCAAATTTTTGTAACCGAAAGAATCATTCCAAGTGTCCAAAAAATAGTTATATAATATAAAATTCATAAGACAATATTCATAAGTTTGTAAAATTATAATTATATAAATTTATAAGAACTGAACTTACAGTCTGTAAACGCCCTTTTTTTTCTTTCGTCTTTCCAGTAGAGGTCGATTCCTCATCTTTCAGTGGAACAAACCTAACAGTCTTTTCAGGACTAGAACTTTTCTCGTCTCCCTAAGAATGTAGAATTATTGTACTTTATAATAGGCAAGCCTTCCATATTGATGAAAACATTTTGGGGGTTTTCAAGTTTATAAAAAAAAAAATTGTTTACCTGTTCTGTAAACGAATGTGCTCTCCATAAGTGACTCCCTGGTATGGAATAACCACTCCCATCTTCAATAGTGGCTTTCTGTTGAAATATATCCTCTGCACTTGCAGAACGCTGAGATAAAAGTAATGGTTTATCATACAGATTATTCTTTGCATGTCTCCCTGTCGGCGACAACGGCAAATCAATCATGCCACTGGTGTCCGCTAAAACGTACGGTGTCTTGTACGATTGAAACTGGAATAAAGACTGCCGCATGTCACCGTTTGATTGAGTCCGAAGATCGGGAGAATGCGGAGATTCATTGTCTGCACTTGTTCTTTCCAGAACAAAGTATGGAGGGTTCTTTAAAATCTTGGGCTTAGGGGGTGGCAAAGGTTTTGAACCAGCGGAAGGAGATGCAGAGGGTGCAATTATAACCTTATCACTTACTGTTTTCCCTACAAATACATCCTCATACACAATAAAATTTTTGGCTTTCTTATCTTTTTGCTTTGGTTTCTGTACAATATTACTTGGTTTATTTACATCAGGTTCTGTATCATCACCTTCATAAACATCTTCATACTCAGGTGATTCACAGCTGCTTTCTGGTCTATCACCATCCTTACCAACTTTATCTTTTTTCCAGGTTGGTCCTAAAATTACAATGGACCTTTCACGGTGTCCTCTTCTACCAGCCTTATTGGCACCTTCACGTAACTTAACAGGTTGTACTGGTATTGAAAAATGTGGTTTCTCATGCGATCCACCTCCTGCAAACCTTGAGTCATCCTCAAGATCATTTTCGTCTTCAGCAACATCTTCATAAGTATGAACTTTAGGTGATGACATATTTTTTTTCTTCTGTTGAAAAACATTCTGAACATGAATGTTCTTAGGTTTTATTGAAGGTTTAGGCGCAATCTGCGGACTTGTTCCTTCTTTTTCTTTACAGTCTTGGTTTTCATAAGTATGATGCAAGTTTAATTTTTGCGGTTCACTATTTATGACCCGCGGGTTCAAACTCACATGCGCGACATCCTCTGGTTCATTGTGCTCATTTTTTACAGCACGGTTTGAATTCGTATTGGGGCATTTCTCGATATTCTCAAATGCTTTCACACGGTCAAATACCGAGTTCCGTTTATCATCTTCAGATGAACTTGCAGTCTCAACACCATTATTATAACGCATTTGTACATTTGTGCTACTATGCTGTTCCCTATTTGGCGGCTCAACTGCAGCCCGCTTTTTCAAAACTTGTGTGAGAACATTGCGTGCTTCAGGTCGGCTCTTAACAGGATGTTGATTTGGCTCCATAGCTCTATATGTTTCACTGGGCAAACCAGCTACTGACCAATGAGGATGCAGCAAATCTTTATTTATTCTTGGGCTTTGTTTTTCAATGACAGATCGTGTCTCATGCCTTCTGGGATCCTGTCCTATATATCTTGTTTGTAATTCAAGTCCTGTTCTCTTAGTTGGCAAACGACGTTCATACCGTGGAACTTGCAGCAGCGACTCGGTTTTACGATGAGAACTCGGAGTGAAACCTCCACCAGATGTCCGTTTTATTGCATTGGTCCTCTGAATATTTGCATTTAAAATAAAATTTGGTCTCACACCTTTAAGTGCAGAATGAGTACTTTTAACGTGTATTCCATTTGTTTCAGTTTTTCTATGATTCTGATTGTTCACAGGCTCAAACTGCGACTGATTGCGCACATCAATTTCCGGTTGTAGCCAATTCGTTGAATGCCTAGATTTGGAAAATTCTACTGTCTCTGTGCATTTCTCAAAATGTTTGTTTTTTGGATGTAAAGGATTGGGTGTCAATGGTACAGACGCACTCTGCCTACTCATTGTTTGAGAAAGCCAAATGATAGACCATGCCTGAAAGATTATAAAGAATAAGTTTAGCAATCAAACTAAAATGAATTACTGTACCTGCATTATACTCTAAATCAAACTAAAGATTAGACAATCTTGAATCAAAATATGAATTAAAAACATCTACTATAGTCTTTAATAAAGAGAAATATATAATCATTGATAAGTTTTCCAAAAGTTACTCACAAAAAATATAATTTAAAGTCTTAATTTCTACTATCAGAAGATTAAATTTTAAGTGTTATGTAACGTAAACATTTTTTATTAAACAAAAAAAATTAAACGAAAGTCGAATTCCAAACTGTATATTCTGCAGACGATACAATAGACTACAATATCCTATAAATCAATTTTCTGGCACCTAGCAAGTTTCGTCTTCATATTCACATCAGGGTAATAAACAAGAATTAAGCAGGAATTGTCAATAATACCATATTTGGAAAGCTCAACCTGCAGTATACTTGAAAACGCTGTCAAAAATGATTCACCAACGAGGTACCACAGAAAACCAGATTAATCTGTCAACCTATAAACTATGGTGAGAATAAAACCCAATGCAAAATTTATAAAGAATGGCTTAAACGCGTTCATGAGATATCCTTCACTTGTTGATACGATAGCATGATTACTTACCAATCTAGAAAAAGGGAAACAATTATAGTTGCTAGTCGTTCAAAAAAAAATGCACTACAGGTTCCTACTGTACTCAACAGTAATAAACTGAATTTATCAGAAATAGCTTGAAGAAACAGAGTTGAAAAATTGGCATTTACAAATGAGTCATTTTAGCCTAGCCTGACAAGAGTTGGCAGTATTGCACTTCTAGTCAAGTAGCTTAGGAAGAGGGTAAACCATGTCTGGCATCAAATACATTGGTATACATTATGGAGGTTTGGGACTTACTTCAAGCTCCTCTGAACTCTAGTACATGTATCATTTTATTATTGATGATCTGGAAAATCACAATATAGAGTAGAATTAAACAATAGGGTATTTTACTAATGGTCAATATGAAATAAACAAGTAAAATTTTTGATAAAATGAGGAATGGAATAAACAAATGAAATTTACTTTTACAGTACTCTTTAATTATTACAAAGTTGAACAATATTTCACTTCATTTAATTAGGTTTGATATTTTAATATTTTTGTTTTTTTTATCATATTTTCATGTAATTATATTTTTGTTGCATATTTCAAGGAGAATTGAAACCCTGATTCAAAAGATGTATACTAATGATATTAGTATTAGTGCACTGACAAAACAATAAGGTAGCTGTACATGTTATTATTACTATCATTATTACAGAAATGATTTCTTAACAGGTACTTCCTTGTGAACTTTTGTGGTTTTATTTATGCACTGATCAACCACGGTGTACAGAAAGACATTCATTGTCAAATCTCAGTTAGTGACAATAACAGTAACGCAAATTGAGTATATATATGAAACATAGCACAACTAATTAGAGAGCAGACGAGATAGAGTGTAACTTTATTCAAACCGCGACGTGTGTAGAATCAATAATTATGCTGACACCATTACTAACATTTTCCTTTCTTCTCTTTATTAAAACTTTAAACTGTTTTAATGCGTATAATATTAAAATACTGTAAACACAAACTTTTTTCCATAAATATTTAAAAAAATATGTTAAACTATCTTCAAAGCAATACAACCCCACTTCTGACACCATGCTAACCAGGAAGCAAGTGGTAATGAAATGTAGCAAATAGAAAGCTGGCTATAAATTTAACTTTACAGATATCAACTTGAGAGATTTGAAATGTGTGACTACACAGTACACCAGTACCCGTACCCCCATCAGGGCCCCTAGGGGTCCAGGGGCAGAGCCTGGTGGGGGTACGGGTTCAGTCACATACGGTAGTCAACGGTTAGTTGTGACAATAAACACGCAAGATCGCACATGCCTTCTAGGTTCTAGAAGTGTGTGGTTGTTTTGTGGAGTTTTTTTGGTCGAGAAAGATAAATTTTCTCAGGGAATTGATTATTGAACGAGATATAAGCCTTCTAATGACTCAAGTTACAGTACTGCACGATCGTTTTTATATTTTAATAAAACCAATTTTTCAAATTTTACATAAATTTTACCTTGAATTTGTGATAATACGTTATCACGCATACGTGTAGACTTGTGCTAAATGTGTGACTAATTTCTGATTACGACTGTGTTTCTGCAAAATGCATATTTCATCCAAAATCACTTTAAAATACGGGATGCACTATACAAAGATGGCTGGCCATTATGACTTTATTCAAACTCACATTGGAACATCATTGTATAGAAAGAGATGGGAAATATGTAGGCATACAGTATCTTACGGCATATACTGGGTATTACAATGAGGATGTTGAGAATTTACTCTATATTTTGAAGAATATTTGACAAAGTTTCTTGAATTGTATTAGTTATTTTAAATGCATAAAGCTACTGCAATATGACTTCAGAATTGTTGTATTATCCAAACAAAGTCAAAGTCAAGATTGCTTCCATGATCACAATGAATTATTAATCATGTGAGAGGGGTATCCTTGATATGGTGCTCTCTTTTCTCCTGACAGATAAATATTACCATGAGCCCAGAAATGGTACTTCAACAGTGGTGGGTCCAGGAAGTCAAAATAGAGAGGGGCCGGGCCAGGATAAGGACTTGCAAAAAAGAGAACAAGGAGGTACTTTGGTGCTAATGCGCTTTCACACCTAACATGTAATTCTCAATTTTTTCACCTCCATGTTCTTTTCAGTCACAACATATACTTACTTAAAAAATTTCACAAGTTAGGCACAAGGGACACTCCAAGTGACGATAAACCTTAGGGCTAGGCCACTACACTCGCCCACGGCGAAAGGAAATTTAAACTTGTTACATAACGTCGATGCGTTATATACGCCTGGGTTAGACGATTCCTTTATTTTTTGCAGGTAAGTTCCATTAGGAATCTGGCTTATATCGGTTCATCCAGGTAAGTATTCACAAAACAGACTTAAGAATTAAAGGTTAGGTTTAAAAGTGCATTAGCGCCGGTATTTTTATACCTCCCTGGATAACCCTTGCTAAAAAAAAAATCGGGAGGTCGTGGGTTCAATTCCAACCTAAATCACTTGCGACCCTTTTTGCAAGTGTTTGGGGATGTACCAAGTATTAAATATAATAACACATCAGGTAGGGCAAAACACCACTCCTCCTCTAGGCCTACAGTATATACTAGTATACTGATGGGAACAGGTCAAAACGGCAAAAAAAAACCAAACAGCTATGGACCAAAACGGCAATAAGTCAAAACGGCAAGACCAAAACAGCAATAAGTCAAAACCCTCAATAAACCAGTTGACCATAAGCAGTAGGCAACACAGTGAATAACTGAATTACCGAATCAACAATAGTTTGCTTAAAACGCCTTTTTTTAAATTAAAGGTTTATTGAAAGTAACATTCCATGGGCGTTACCTTTAAAAACCCCTCTTGATTTCGCACCTCATTCATGAACTTTAAGGTGCTGTTAACTCGTATTTACCTTGGTTTGAAGGTTTTATTTTAACTGCTGTTACTAATATAACAAAAAAATACAACTCAAATAAAATTAACAGACCATTCTGATTCAATATTTACTTTGGAATATATTCAGTTCAGTTTATTTCTCATTCATCAAAACAATGTTCAAAACAGATAAAATTCGCACAAGGCAGGACAAAAAAAATTACAATAAAAGATGATGCAAGGATGGTCTATGAAAGTTTTCTTTAAGAAGTAAAACTCAATTCCAATGTGGCACTACATAAAACCAATTATAAACATAAAAGTGACAATGATTAATAATAATAATAATAATAATAATAATAATAATAATAATAATAATAATAATAATAATAATAAAATAATAATAATAATAGTATAACATACAAATTCAATAGTAAAAAGATCAGGGGGGAATCACAATATAAAAGCAGTAAACATTTAAATAATTAAAACTTTAAAATACAGACAAAATGAGGCTAAACAATTTATGTCATAAAAGTACTGTATTAAAAAAAAGCATGAAAGGAAAAAAACACTTTAAAGAATAACAACATTAATAATAATTAAAAAAATAATAATAATAATTATAATAATAATAATAATAATAATAGTAATAATAACAACAACAATACAACATATAAATTCAATAGTAAGAAAGATTGGGGGAACACAATATAATATATACAATATAAAAATAGTGAACATTTAAATAATTAAAACCTTAAAATATAGATAATATGAGGCTAAACAACGTCACAAAAGTCAAAAACAGGAAAGAAAAAAAATAATGAGAAATAACACTTTAAAATAATGAAATAATTTGTCATGGATGTGTAAAAAAAAAAAAAAAAAAAAAAAAAAGATGTGTAAAAAACAAAAAAAAAAAAAAAAAAAAACAAGAACGATTCAGAAAATTGTAAACTGCTGCCCGCGCCCGGTGGCGCTTCAGTCTTGGCATTGATTTTTGTTCCTTTGCCGTTTCGGTCTATGCCTATTGCCGTTTTGGTAGTTGACATTGCCGTTTTGGTCTGTTGCCATTTTTGTATTTATCATTGCCGTTTTGGTTTATTGCCGTTTTTGTCATTGCCGTTTTGGTCATACCGTTTTGGTTTTTTGCCGTTTTGTCGAGAAACCCTTATTTTTAACCATTATTTATTTTTATTTTTAATATTTGTTACAATTATTTATTTTTTTATATGCAGTTATTTAATATAGTCTCAGTGATGTTGATTGTTTACATCGCATGTGACTGCCACAACAAAAACAATGCAATGTAGCTAGCAGATCCTAGGCCTACTACAGTAGGCCTCCTATCTAGGCCTAGTCCCTGTCAGATGACAGGTGATGTAGATAGTCAGATATAATAACATTTTCAACGTAAAGCAATGTAGGCCTATGATACATAGCATTTTAATACTAATACGAAAAACTAGCCTCTATATTCTAGGCCTTTGATTTCCATTGAGGATTACCTGTTTCCGGGCCAGGCACGGGCCCCTGTCGGCTTGAAAACATTGTTGGGTGACTTGCTTCCGTTATTGTAGTCGCTGGTAGTTAAGAGTAGGCCTACCTATGCAACTAGGCTAGGCCTAATTACGACGAAGTTGTTACCAAAACGGTTGAGACTGTAAGTATATGTTTATGTTCTTTACCATAAAACACATGTAGATGTTGCCAAATGAAACCTTACATTCTTAGTCTATGCTATGTTTGCGAGAAACGTATTAAATGAACAGCCGTCCGAATAACGTGCACAAACACAACCAATTCATCAACGTTTACTCAATTATTATGCGTTTACTTCCGGTATGGGTACAGCTCAGTCGCGCAAAGTGCGTTGCCCGTGTGCGGTCGTATCAAACTTTTTTTTTCTTTTAAAATATTATATGGTGTCAAGCTTTAATGGGTCACGCATGGGAACCTAGCAGGACGAAACACTTCCTAAAAAGGATAATTCGCTCATTTGTCTTTAATAAACATCTTTTTTATGTTATGTATTGGTTTTTATATAAATAATTTTTTTTTAATAATTTTTTTAAATTTTTATATATATATATATTTTTTTTTATTCGGCTTTGGGCACCGGACCAAGAATATACCAAACAGTGACCTTATCACTCTTCAAATTGGCAACCCATCACATGACAACAGGGGCTGTGGACCAGTACATCAGTGTATCCCCTACCCATCTCGAAAATATGTACACTGAGCCTATACGGTAGTCATTATCCGAGAAGACTTGTTCCACCTCCTCCAGTGCCATAGACGAGCGTGCCGTTCGGACCAGCACCGATATTTATTATAACTGTAGGCCTATGTTGTGGCACCCCCGCCTCAACAAACCTGCTCGACCATTCGACTCGCCCGTTAGTTTGATTGTTTTTTGTTTAATTTAAAGTGATCTCGAATAGTGCAGACTGAAATCGTTAATTGGTTGAAAATTTGCAAAAACAAGAAATTTAACCATATAAACAGTAAAAGGGTACAAAACTACACCTATCAAAATGATCTTATCCACAAATTTAGTTAAATTATTATACTGCAAAGGTAAAAAACCAAAAATTGACATCGTTGCAATTGATATTATAGACATAATTATTAAATTTAAAACATATTAATTAAAAAATTAAGAATAATTATTAAAAAGACACTCCATATCAAGATAAACACAAAAATTATAAAAAATTAAAAATGTACATACAAAATTACATAGGGATATTTCGGACATGCACATGTGTCCTTCATTAAGAAATACAAA